CGAACGGACTTGGAAGAATTTCTCGCTCGCCCGGCGAAAGCAACACGCCGCGAACGGACTTGGAAGAATTTCTCGCTCGCCCGGCGAAAGCAACACGCCGCGAACGGACTTGGAAGAATTTCTCGCTCGCCCGGCGAAAGCAACACGCCGCGAACGGACTTGGAAGAATTTCTCGCTCGCCCGGCGAAAGCAACACGCCGCGAACGGACTTGGAAGAATTTCTCGCTCGCCCGGCGAAAGCAACACGCCGCGAACGGACTTGGAAGAATTTCTCGCTCGCCCGGCGAAAGCAACACGCCGCGAACGGACTTGGAAAAAGCGGCTGTGCGGCCGGAGGTGTCGCCGCCAACGAAAGCAACACGCCGCGATCGGACTTTGGACGGGCGGCGCGTGCCGCCGGAGGTGTCGCCCGGCGAAAGCAACACGCCGCGAACGGACTTGGAAGAATTTGTCGCTCGCCCGGCGAAAGCAACACGCCGCGAACGGACTTGGAAGAATTTCTCGCTCGCCCGGCGAAAGCAACACGCCGCGAACGGACTTGGAAGAATTTCTCGCTCGCCCGGCGAAAGCAACACGCCGCGAACGGACTTGGAAGAATTTCTCGCTCGCCCGGCGAAAGCAACACGCCGCGAACGGACTTGGAAGAATTTCTCGCTCGCCCGGCGAAAGCAACACGCCGCGAACGGACTTGGAAGAATTTGTCGCTCGCCCGGCGAAAGCAACACGCCGCGAGCGAACTTGGAAAAGCGGCTTGTGCGGCCGGAGGTGTCGCCCGCCAACGAAAGCAACACGCCGCGATCGGACTTGTGGTACGGGCGGCGCGTGCCGCCGGAGGTGTCGCCCGCCAACGAAAGCAACACGCCGCGAACGGACTTGGAAGAATTTCTCGCTCGCCCGGCGAAAGCAACACGCCGCGAACGGACTTGGAAGAATTTCTCGCTCGCCCGGCGAAAGCAACACGCCGCGAACGGACTTGGAAGAATTTCTCGCTCGCCCGGCGAAAGCAACACGCCGCGAACGGACTTGGAAGAATTTCTCGCTCGCCCGGCGAAAGCAACACGCCGCGAACGGACTTGGAAGAATTTCTCGCTCGCCCGGCGAAAGCAACACGCCGCGAACGGACTTGGAAGAATTTCTCGCTCGCCCGGCGAAAGCAACACGCCGCGAACGGACTTGGAAGAATTTCTCGCTCGCCCGGCGAAAGCAACACGCCGCGAACGGACTTGGAAGAATTTCTCGCTCGCCCGGCGAAAGCAACACGCCGCGAACGGACTTGGAAGAATTTCTCGCTCGCCCGGCGAAAGCAACACGCCGCGAACGGACTTGGAAGAATTTCTCGCTCGCCCGGCGAAAGCAACACGCCGCGAACGGACTTGGAAGAATTTCTCGCTCGCCCGGCGAAAGCAACACGCCGCGAACGGACTTGGAAGAATTTCTCGCTCGCCCGGCGAAAGCAACACGCCGCGAACGGACTTGGAAGAATTTCTCGCTCGCCCGGCGAAAGCAACACGCCGCGAACGGACTTGGAAGAATTTGTCGCTCGCCCGGCGAAAGCAACACGCCGCGAGCGAACTTGGAAAAAGCGGCTTGTGCGGCCGGAGGTGTCGCCCGCCAACGAAAGCAACACGCCGCGATCGGACTTGGGTACGGGCGGCGCGTGCCGCCGGAGGTGTCGCCCGCCAACGAAAGCAACACGCCGCGAACGGACTTGGAAGAATTTGTCGCTCGCCCGGCGAAAGCAACACGCCGCGAACGGACTTGGATGAATTTCTCGCTCGCCCGGCGAAAGCAACACGCCGCGAACGGACTTGGAAGAATTTCTCGCTCGCCCGGCGAAAGCAACACGCCGCGAACGGACTTGGAAGAATTTCTCGCTCGCCCGGCGAAAGCAACACGCCGCGAACGGACTTGGAAGAATTTCTCGCTCGCCCGGCGAAAGCAACACGCCGCGAACGGACTTGGAAGAATTTCTCGCTCGCCCGGCGAAAGCAACACGCCGCGAACGGACTTGGAAGAATTTCTCGCTCGCCCGGCGAAAGCAACACGCCGCGAACGGACTTGGAAGAATTTCTCGCTCGCCCGGCGAAAGCAACACGCCGCGAACGGACTTGGAAGAATTTCTCGCTCGCCCGGCGAAAGCAACACGCCGCGAACGGACTTGGAAGAATTTCTCGCTCGCCCGGCGAAAGCAACACGCCGCGAACGGACTTGGAAGAATTTCTCGCTCGCCCGGCGAAAGCAACACGCCGCGAACGGACTTGGAAGAATTTGTCGCTCGCCCGGCGAAAGCAACACGCCGCGAACGGACTTGGAAGAATTTCTCGCTCGCCCGGCGAAAGCAACACGCCGCGAACGGACTTGGAAGAATTTCTCGCTCGCCCGGCGAAAGCAACACGCCGCGAACGGACTTGGAAGAATTTCTCGCTCGCCCGGCGAAAGCAACACGCCGCGAACGGACTTGGAAGAATTTGTCGCTCGCCCGGCGAAAGCAACACGCCGCGAACGGACTTGGAAGAATTTCTCGCTCGCCCGGCGAAAGCAACACGCCGCGAACGGACTTGGAAGAATTTCTCGCTCGCCCGGCGAAAGCAACACGCCGCGAACGGACTTGGAAGAATTTCTCGCTCGCCCGGCGAAAGCAACACGCCGCGAACGAACTTGGAAGAATTTCTCGCTCGCCCGGCGAAAGCAACACGCCGCGAACGAACTTGGAAGAATTTCTCGCTCGCCCGGCGAAAGCAACACGCCGCGAGCGAACTTGGAAGAATTTGTCGCTCGCCCGGCGAAAGCAACACGCCGCGAACGGACTTTGTACGGGCCCGGCGAAAGCACGCCGCCGGGAGGTGTCGCCCGCCAACGAAAGCAACACGCCGCGAACGGACTTGGAAGAATTTCTCGCTCGCCCGGCGAAAGCAACACGCCGCGAACGGACTTGGATGAATTTTCGCTCGCCCGGCGAAAGCAACACGCCGCGAACGGACTTGGAAGAATTTGTCGCTCGCCCGGCGAAAGCAACACGCCGCGAGCGAACTTGGAAAAAGCGGCTTGTGCGGCCGGAGGTGTCGCCCGCCAACGAAAGCAACACGCCGCGATCGTACTTGGGTTACGGGCGGCGCGTGCCGCCGGAGGTGTCGCCCGCATACAAGGCAACACGCCGCTATCGGGCCTGGAAAAATTTCTCGCTCGCCGGCGAGAGCAACGCGCTGCGAGCGAACTTGCGCCTGTTCCCGAGTTCTCGCTTGTACCGCTAACGAGCGAGCTAAATGAGATTAATTAAATGAGGACGCATCGGAAAGTTTATTCGTGCAAACACTCCGGCTTCGCTTATCGGCATCCTGCCTGCATTCGTCCACGTATCGGTCGTAGAATCTCGAAGATTGTGCATCCGACGAGTGGTAACCGAGAATTAGCAGATATCGTAATAATCGTGTCGCGCGGTCGTGCGGAGCGTCGAAAAGTACGAAACCTTTGTCCGAAACGTATTTCCGTATCGTAGCATTATCTTCTCGTAGCGGCGCTACTCGCCGTCAAGTGCCCCGGAGGTACCGCCGGCGGGCGACGGACTTGGTGAAATCATTCGGTCGTCCGGAGGTGTCGCCCGTCCCGGAGGTGCCGTCCGTCCCCTAAGTTGACGCCGGCCGTTATGTGGTGCCGCACGTATAATCACGCCCGTAACGAGCCGTCTCGGTTGCCGCGCGCGTGATTTCGCATCGGGCGAGTGTTTCGTACCGTAATCGCGGTCACCGCAGCTTGCGTGTTGCGTATCATCCGTAATAATTCGAAATATATGTCTCCGACACGTGGGTTTGAGAGACACGTTTCGAGTTAGTAATCGGACAGCGCCCTCATGTCGAGCGAGCGCCGAATAGTAACTTTCGTCCGAAACGTTTTTACGTAGCTCTCCTCGTTGCGGCGCCGTAAATCGTCGTTAAGTGTTCCGGAGGTACCGCCGGCGGTCGTCTGACTTCGAGAGATCATTCGGTCGTCCGGAGGTGCCGCCCGTCCCGGAGGTGTCGCCAGTCGGCCGTGGTTCTCGGAGGTGTCGCCCGGTCCGGAGGTGTCGCCGGTCGACCGTGGTTCCCGGAGGTGTCGCCCGGCCCGGAGGTGCCGCCGGTCGGCCGTGGTTCCCGGAGGTGTCGCCCGGCCTGGAGGTGCCGCCCGACCCGGAGGTGCCGCCCGGCCCGGAGGTGCCGCCCGGCCCGGAGGTACCGTCGGTGCTTATACCTTATTGTCCCGGCATTTCGTTTGTTTCCTTCTTAATTAATGCTAATTATCGTTGTTTGACATTCGCCATACGGCTATCGTGATAATATTTTATCGTACAATAGGACTTTTCGATCGTTCGCTCTCCGCGACAATGTCTCGATTGAACGCGCCTTTCGGCGCTCGCGCTCGCATAACGTATAAGACGGGCAACAAGAGCCAAATCGCGGATGACAATGCGTTATCCTAACGAAACTAAATAATTTTCCGTTAGAATTAAATACCGGTGCACAAGGCACCAAATTTTACTTGGACACGGCCAAGATTTTAAAATATGAAATAATCTTATATTTGAGATTTAATTTCAATACCCCCTTTTTTTTTTTAACCCCCCTACCAAAATTAAATAAATGAATGCAAGAGAAAAATATAGATCCGAAAATCGGGGATCCCGATTCAGCGATTTTCGGATCTATATTTTTCTCTTGCATTCATTTATTTAATTTCCGTAGGGGGGTTAAAAAAAAAAAAAAAAAAAAAAGGGGGTATTGAAATTAAATCTCAAATATGAGATTATTTGCCGCCTAGTAGTGTCACACGCCGTGGTGGCATACGTTCTGCCGCGCCTCCTGCTGACGCAAGGTCCCGCATCAAGGACCAACCAACGTTGGCCTCACATTCAAGGCCTCCAGCTGGCCGACCCAACCTTCCAGGACGACGACCCCGCGGAGTTACTCCTGGGAGCGGAGGTCTGCTCGTTTATTATCGAGGAGGGCGTACGCAAGGGCGGTCCAGAGATGCCGATCGCCCAGAAGACCATGCTTGGTTGGATTCTCTCCGGGGGGTCAGATGCAACAGCAACCGAGGATCACCGCCGCACGTTCCGCTGCACCGCTGATTATGACCTCGCTGATCTGGTGCGTCGATTCTGGGAACAGGAACAGGAGCCCACCGCTGTCGCATCCCTCACTCCCGACGAACAAAGATGTGAGGAGCTCTTTGTGCGCAGTCACACCCGCACTGCCGCTGGGAGATATGTGGTGAGGTTGCCATTTTCCTCACCGCCAACAGCACTGGAGGAGACTCGCAGACCAGCGGAACGTCTCCTGACAGCCATGGAGCGACGCTGCGTCCAGGATCCTCGCTTCGGTGACCTCTACCGCAGCTTCATGCGGGAATACGAAGACCTGCGACACATGACGATGCTAAACACTGCGGTAATTGATCGTCAAGACAAGTGTTACTTACCACATCATGGGGTCTTCAAGGAATCCAGCACCACCACCAAGTTGAGGGTCGTCTTCAACGGATCGCAGCAAACGCGAGCAGGGGAAGCGCTGAACACGCATCTCCTCACTGGTGCAAACCTGCTTCCGACACTCGCCGACGTGCTGCTCCGATGGCGTCAACACCGCTACGTCCTCGTCGCCGACATAGAAAAGATGTACCGGCAGATTCTCGTGCATCCAGACGATTGTCGCTTCCAGACGATCCTGTGGCGGCATTCTCCGGACGATGAAGTGCAGGAATACCAGTTGAGAACGGTCACTTACGGTCTCGGTTGCGCTCCATTCCTCGCCATACGGACTCTTCACCAACTAGCTGAGGATGAAGAGGAGCATTTTCCTCGAGGCGCTGTGGCCTTGCGACGGGATTGCTACGTCGATGACGTCGTCACCGGAGCAACCACCCTCGAGGGAGCAATCGTCCTCCAGACGGAACTACGCAACCTCTGTAAGGCGGGTGGATTTCCGTTGAAAAAGTGGGCAGCCAACAATGAGGAGATACTGATAGGCGTCCCGCAGGATCATCGCATGCAACAATCGCAGCACTCATGGAATGGGGAGAGCCACTCAACGCTAGGACTTCGATGGCATCCTCAAGACGATCAGTTCTCCTTCGTGCTGCGTCCACCGTCTATAAAGGAATACACGAAGAGACATGTCCTCTCTGAAACCGCACGTCTCTTCGATCCAATGGGTTGGCTCGCTCCAGTCGTCATCCGCGCAAAGATCCTCATCCAGACTACGTGGCTTCAGGGATTGGATTGGGATGCCCCACTGCCGACAGCCGACGCTCATCGTTGGCAGCAACTGTTGGGTGACCTCCATCTCCTCGACCGCCTGAGAATACCTCGCTGGCTAGGCACTGGACGTGGAGACTCATCGCTGCAACTCCATGGTTTCGCCGATGCATCCGAACGAGGGTACGCCGCAGCCGTATACCTCCGCATCGCTGAAAAAGAGGGAACGTCAGTGAAGCTGCTAATGGCCAAGAGCAAGGTGGCACCTGTCAAGCAAGTGACCTTGCCAAGACTCGAGCTTTGCGCCGCCGCCTTACTCACCACGTTGACACAGCATGTTCAAACCACGCTCGACTTGACAGACACACCAACTCATCTGTGGTCTGACTCGAAGGTCACGCTTCAGTGGATCCAAGGACACGCCTTGCGGTGGAAGACCTTCGTTGCCAATCGGGTGTCCCACATCCAAACCCTGTTGCCAAATGCACTCTGGAGACACGTGGTGGGTCAAGACAACCCTGCGGATTGTGCATCAAGGGGCGTTACTCCGTCGGAACTTACAAATCACACATTATGGTGGACGGGACCTACCTGGTTGCTGGAGGAAGAGACTGCATGGCCAATCGCCGAGGTGAACACCCAGGAGGACGACCTTTCTGAGAGACGAGCCGTTAGCCTACTGACCAAGAGCCTGGTCGTCATGGAACCTGAGCTCCTTCTTCGCTTCTCGTCGTTGCACCGCTTGTTACGAGTCACAGCATGGTGTCGTCGCTGGCTTCGCACGGCAGAACCAACTAACACACCTGGACGGCCACTGACCTCGGACGAATTGGAAGTAGCTCTGTCGCACTGGTTACGAGGAGTACAAGCACTTCACTTCCCTGACGAGGTCACCGCCATCTCCGCAGGTCGCACTGTTGCAACACGCAGTCCGTTGGCCAAATTGACTCCATACATTGATGCACAAGGCGTGTTAAGAGTGGGAGGACGTCTGAAGAATTCACTCTTGCCACAGGACGAGAGACACCCAATGATCGTCCCAGCAACCTCATGGCTGACTCGACTGCTGATCGATTCTTGTCATCGCCGGACCTTGCACGGAGGAGTGCAACTGACTCTGGGATTGCTTCGACAGCGGTTCTGGGTGCTTCGAGGACGTTCAGCGGTGAAGCAGCGATTACATCGCTGTGTCACCTGCACAAGGTGGCGAGCGACAACACCACAACCACCTATGGGCAATCTGCCCCACAGCCGGGTCACTCCAACACGGCCATTCCTCCGCACTGGACTGGACTACGCGGGGCCAATCCTCATCCGGACCAGCAAGGGCCGCGGTCACCGGGCCTACAAGGGCTATATTGCGGTCTTCATCTGCTTCTGGTCGAAGGCCATCCATCTAGAGCTCGTCTCAGATTACTCGTCGGAAGCCTTCATCGCCGCTCTTCGCCGATTTGTCTCCCGACGGGGTCTCTGCACCGACATCTTCAGCGACTGCGGCACGACCTTCGTTGGAGCTGACCGCACCCTACGAGAGCTCTTCATTGCGGCATCTCCGGAGGGTCGAGGCGTCGCACGCGCAGCTGCCAAGGAGGGTATCCGCTGGCACTTCAATCCGCCGGCGGCCCCGCACTTCGGTGGATTATGGGAGGCCGCTGTAAAATCTGCCAAGTATCACCTGCGGAGGGTGATAGGCGAAACCACCCTCACCTTCGAGGAATTTAATACACTCCTCACTCAAATTGAAGCATGTCTCAATTCTCGACCGTTGCAGGCACTCTCCGACGATCCAGACGATGTTTCAGCGCTCACTCCCGGACACTTCCTGATCGGGGCACCTCTTCTCGCCATCCCTGAGCCGCTGCAGGAAGACGAACCTGGTTCCTCGAGATCACGATGGCAACATCTACAACAAATGAGAGATCACTTCTGGGGGAGGTAGTCGAAGGAGTACATCCACGGACTCACCTCTCGTTCAAAGTGGCTGAAGAATGAGACGGCACCCCACATCGGAGCTCTCTGCCTGGTGCGCTCCGAGATCTCTCCTCCAAGTCGATGGCCGCTTGCCCGGATCACGAAGCTGCATCACGGAGACGACGGCGTGGTGCGCGTGGTCACCATCAAGACCGCGTCTTCCGAGCTCATGCGTCCGCTCGTCAAGATCGTCCTGCTTCCCGGTGTTGAAGCAGACACGACGATTACCGATGCGTGAAAGATACGCGACGCACACCACACACGATACACACAATTATACACACTTCCGGTCACATCTTTCACACTTTACACAATACACAATTCACACACGATTCAAACACTACACGCCATTTGTACACCTAACGGAGCATTAATTATGCCATCATAATGCATCATTGTCTTACGCGACCACTCTCACTCGCGGTATTCACCAAACACGTGGCGGATATTTCACAGCTGATCGAGTCTAGCGCGACACGCGATCACCACGTGCGTCGTGACGCGCAGCCGCACCGCCACAATCACCGACCAATAAAGCGCGGCCCGCGGCCAGCAATCATCAACGAATTGTTTCGTCACAACGTAACAAGGCGGGCGGGATGTTTGAGATTGCAAATAAATCCGAGTTATTTCATGCAATTTCAAGTAAGTAAGCCTATCCATTCTAATCTATTTCAGTTGTTATTATCATGCGTCGCGGTAAAATAAACAATAGAAAAAAAATTCACCCAGATCAAAATATCTACGTACATAAATCATTAGGGCAATTAAAATGTCATAATAAATAACAATCCTGCAACGGGTACCGCACGGAGATATAACTGCCGATGTCGCAAAACACATGCGCAAAGCGATCACGTGGCTCTGGAAGGCCAATCAATAAAATAATCGATCCGCTCGCGCATGTCAGGCCCGTGCCTACTCCGCGCGAGAACCGGGCAGCCAATAACGTTCGGCGCCCTTGCGTCACATCACCACTTTTGAAGTGATCGAAATCAATTGGTGCGTGATGACGTGACGGGCCCTAGCACCGCATTGATAAAAGGGGCGTCGACGAAACTTTTCATCTTATCGCCTTTCCGCCGTGAAACACATATCACAAACCGCTTATTAGATAAACCGCAAAACCACGTTGACGACCGCCGCTTACTCCGCACTCTGATTTGATTCCGATTTTTCTGTAAATAATTACTATTGTGAAAAGTTTGTTAAAGTGTTGTTTTTTTAATTGTGGATAATATTAAAGTCTTTTTTTCAAATATAAAAGTGACTCATCCTTTGGTGCCGCGCGATCCTTTCTCTCGCATCGCGTTCGTGAACAGTTGCATTCATTATTACTACTTTTATTTCTACACAGACATCCATGATCGTGGCACACATTAGCCTTAATTTCATAAGTTTTGGTTTATACGGACTTTTGTCTGATTTTTTCTTCTAATTAAATAGATATATTAAGAATGCAGAAAAGTTTAAAAAGGAATACAATAATTAATATATATATTTTATACAAAAATTAATATATAAAAAGTACTTGTGGCATATATATAATAAGATAAATAGTGTATATACCTGAATCACTATTATTAGATTGCTGTTGCTCATTTTCACCTAATGCTGCTTCAAGAAATTTCGTCATACGAACTATCTCTACAGCTGCTATTGACTGTCGATAATGGCGTTTATGAATTTTCTCGTGATGTCCCATAAAGTTCGCCAAATCATCCACTTCATTGTCAGATAAATTTAACGTAATACATGTTGTAGCAATATGTTTACGTAATTCAGTACCTCTTAAAGAATGTGGTATTTGTGCATCACATTTTTTAGAAAAATATCGCATAAGGATACACGCTCTTAAATATTTGAAATGGCGTTTGGTACTACTAGGTATGCCAAACACATACGGATTTTTTTCAGGAACATTTGCATCCTTTCGTTGGTTCAAAATTAGTTCAACACATTGTACTAATTCCATGTCTAAAATCACAGGCACTGTACGTCCCAATTTTCCACGAATTAAGAATCTTACGTATTTATCAGCAACCTATATACAAAAGTTATATGTAGATTATTATTTTGCATCATATACCATATTGTGCGTAATTTAATTATAATACTTGTAAATAAATAATATTTATAAATAAATAATAGTAATAATAATTTTTACCTGCTGTAATTTTGTGCCTAATGATTTGTATAAATCTAAATGAGTTTCTTTCGTTATACCTTCGCGAGTAATAAAATCGTCAATAGTAACCCGTTCTATTTCTCCTGCTCTTCTTCTATTAAAAACTTGCATTGATGTAAGTGTAACTTTTGCAAGTTCTAGCAATGTTTCGTATTTAAATTTCTTCTGAAGTTTTGCATACAATGATTTTCTTTCGTTATTTAGATATGAGTGTAATTTTTTTATATCTTCCATAGATGGAAGCATAACTTTTTTCTGTCTTTTATTTTGTGTCATATTTTCTTCTACTGTTTTGTTTATAGATATACCATAATCTTCTTGTAATAATTTTAAAAAGTTTTCTGTAGCATTTTGCTTTTCTATATCATTAGCTTTTATGCATTCAGTTATTAACAAATTACCAATTTGTTTTAAATATGTCCCAATATTTGACGCAACTGATGGTGCACCATATTTTTTATTAATATCATCAAATGAGCTACTTTATTTACTGCTTTCAGACAATCATCATATATGGAAGGATTATATATATCAGAAAAACTCTGTTATGTTAGAGTTATATTCTTTCATTGCGATAAGAAACCTTCCTAATAATCGAAGTTTAGCACGTATCATATCTTGTTGGTGTTGATGATTGTACTTGATACATAATTTGTTCGCAAATGTTATTATTAATTTATCATATTTAATACTTTGTGTAACATCATCTTCCCTCAAAACTGGGAATAAAACTTTTCTTACTGTCTCACTTGCACATTCATGAATTCTGCCCATCACAGCACGTCCTAAAACTTGTACATTTCTGCCTTTGGATTCTCCTACACATTCTTTAAAATGATGCCTGATATTATTTTTAGTGAACCATCCTTTACACTTTGCGCAACTTATAAAATCTTGTACTGTTTTGCAACTATTTTTGGCAGGCCTTCGACAAACAATTAATTCTCCCGTATTTAAGGAAGGATCCGTATTGTGTATGAAATTCCCTTTCTTTCTAATAGACTCTATAATTTGTTTTCTTTCTAAATTACCTGCAATGAGAATATTAAATAATGTATATATAATGTAAATAATGTATATATAATGTAAATAATGTATATGTAATGTAAATAATGTATATATAATGTAAATATATTAATAAAAATTATAACACATTAATATTATATTAAAAAAATATTTATATTAAATATTTATATTACGTATTTATCAGCAACCTATATACAAAAGTTATATGGATTATTATTTTGCATCATATACCATATTGTGTGTAATTTAATTATAATATTTGTAAACAAATAATATTTATACATAATATTTATAAATAAATTTATCATATTTAATACTTTGTGTAACATCATCTTTCCTCAAAACTGGGAATAAAAATTTTCTTACTGTCTCAATTGCACATTCATGAATTCTGCCCATCAAAGCACGTCCTAAAACTTGTACATTTCTGCCTTTCGATTTTCCTACACATTCTTTAAAATGATGCCTGATATTATTTTTAGTGAACCATCCTTTACACTTTGCGCAACTTATAAAATCTTGTACTGTTTTGCAACTATTTTTGGCAGGCCTTCGACAAACAATTAATTCTCCCGTATTTAAGAAAGGATCCGTATTATGTATGAAATTCCTTTTTTTTCTAATAGACTCTATAATTTGTTTTCTTTCTAAATTACCTGCAATGAGAATATTAAGTAATGTATATATAATGTAAATAATGTATATATAATGTAAATAATGTATATATAATGTGTTTGCGCGTACGCTCGATTGCTGACGTTGAACGCTCACGCACGAAGCTACGGATCCTGACAATCGGGTTGTAAATCCGATCGTCGATATCCGTCTCGTGTATAGATTGCACAGGAAGATTCAAAGTGGACTGTATCTTAAGGAGGGTGGACGCGCTCCGATTGGTGCGCAGGATGGGTAACGATTTAAGCCACGTGCCGAATCGAGAACCAGAATACGGAATTATATGCACAAATTACACAAAAACAATCCATTTATTAACTAAATTTGTCCGAGAGTCACAATGTACATAAACGCAAATTAATTTGAAACCTTTACATAAAATCTTTATCTATTAACGAATAAAATAGTCACCGCGAAAACACGTACGACGTGGTTGTTAAGCAGTCCGAAATGTCTCACTATATGGTATCTAGCATGTGTTGCATGGACACCACCGAAAAACTATTTGTTGCATAACAATTGCTAGTTACGATGAACACGCTCGAAACTCGTGTATCGAATCGTTCGAAATCTCACATTAAGATTTCGTACACGTTGCCGATTGCGGCGAATGCGATATTAAATCGCGAACCGAAATGTTTCAATTAACATGAAGAATCACTGATCACATAAATGTTACAGTGCGTTGAGCACCACGGGCTCGAAGGGATGAAAAAAAGGAACGCAAACACAATCACGACATCAGGTATCAGTCCCAGATGACTGATCACGTGATCTGCGCGCTCCAACTCACGTGATCTACGCGTGCCAAGCGAACACGCGCGAGCCTCATGTATACAATTATTACGTTCGTGGAAACAATCGGACTTCGGCACCTTGATATTTCACCATTGCGTGAATTCTGGTCCCAAATCACTGAATTCCGCTTCGTTAACAATGTTTTGAGCGCAAATTTTATGTCGCGTATATAACGGCGCACCTTGTTGCTACCGTTAATTAGCGAATGTCAAAGTGAACGTATTTCACATCTCACTTATCACTGAATCACAGCAGAATATCAATCTGATTATTTTTTTTAT